CAATATTTTAGTTTAATTTTATGTTATAAAGTTACTGTTTCATAACTTAAGCTATGGAAAATACAACTCTGAACTTTTGTTGAGGAATAAGGAAACACTATTCTATGAAGACTAAAACAATTGACAAATCCTCAACTTTTTTAAAAAATAAAATTGCATTCTTAAGGCCTACCTACAGACTGAGAGACTATGGGGGAGGTGGTAAAGAAGTGCCCTGGATGGGTGAATCTAGTATGATGCTAGGGAAGTTTCCATCAATATTCCCAGTGATGTTTGGGACTCTCTCTCTTTGCATTTTAATCAGTCTTTTTGTCATTTTCATTTTATACAAATCACCTGGAAATCTGGTTAGAATGCAGATTCTGATTCAGCAGGTCTCAGCTGGGGCCTGAAATTCTACATTTCTCACCATCTCCTAGGTGATGCCAATGCTGTTACCCTAGGGATACAATTTGAGCTTCACTGTTTTAGATATCTTCTATCCATGGCATATTATAATGAGAGTTAGTTACAGGGGATCCTTGGTCAGTTATTTCTGCTACTTAAAAGGGGAAGTCCCTAACTGCTGGCTTATTTGAGGGGTGAAACAATTTTGCTCATTCAGAAATGCAAGGGACTGGTGTGTGTAGGAAATTTGCTAATATTACATGCATTAATCATGAGAAATTTTGTGTGCCATTGACATCAGCTTGTTCAAAGACTGAAGGAGGTAAGAACTTTTGAAGTGGTACTCAGGTTCCTGCTGCTTAACTGAAACTGAGATAAGATCAAATTCGTTAGGAAACAATTTTCAAAACAAACTCATTTATTTTGACTAAATGTGGTTGAATTATGGTAAGGTGACAAAGTCATTGTATTTTTTAGAGACCTGCTACTTTAGAATGTAGAAAACGGGTTGTGTACCATTTTACTTCCATCCATGCTGAAATGTTAAATAACAAGTTTCCATATCCACCCTTAATGTTATTGAATTATTTCCATTAATTGCTTCTCACAGGGATACTGGAACCAAGGACCTGTGCTGTTTCCCTCTTTCCATCTGCATTTTTCTGTGTGGTTTAAAGAAAGTCCCTTAATGTCTGTGTTTCAAGCTCACATTGTGAAAAATGGAACACAAAGCTCTTGCCTTGTTCCCTGTAGAATACCTATGAAAATCAGTGGATTTTAAGGTAGATTTCAATTGCTTTAAAAAACAAGATTTAATAAGTGTAATATTTTGTATTTTTTCAGCATATTACATATGAGCATATAGCAAGCTATTTTATAGAGGATCCAAATAGTCTGGCAAATCTTCATAACAAAAACAAAACATTTCCTCTGATTATATCAGCAGTTAAATTAACCTTTTGCTCAGTGTCACAAATAAAATGGACCTGATTAAAGTATTTTGAATATTTTTTGTCCTTTACATAATCAGTATTGATGGGTATTGATTAAAGGTATAGTAATCTAATTCACGTATTTAAAGACTTTTAATTCTAAAGGGAGTTAACAGCAAATGTGGTCAACGACTTGAGCATAACCTTTTTATAATTCTCTAGCATCATCTGTTAAGTTTAAACAGTTGATTTTAAACAGAGTTTGGTATTTGTCCTAACCAAAGATCTCAACTGATCAAAACTTGTAACAAAAAACAGCAATACAAAAATGTATTAAAAATCATGGTGAGTTATATTCAGATTCACAGAAATAATTTAGTACAAAGTTGTAGCCTTTGAAGTAAGTGTTTATTAAACAAATTATGAAAAAATCTTTAATATCACTAATCACCAGGGAAATACAAATCAAAACCACAATGAGATATCACCTCATTCAAGTAAGATGGCTATTATCAAAAGGACTAAAAGTGCTGGTAAAGATGTGGAAAAAAGGGAGCCCTTACACACTGTTGGTGGAAATGCAAGCTAGGATAATCTTTATGAAAAACAGTAATGAGCCAGGCACTGGTGGCTCATGCCTGTAATCCTAGCTACTCAGGAGGCAAAGATCAGATTATCGAAGTTTGAAGCCAGCCCAGGCATATGGTTCATGAGAACGTATCTTGAAAAAACTCATCACAAAAAAAGACTGGTGGAGTGGCTCAAGGTGTAGGCCCTGAGTTCAAGCCCCAGTACCATAAAAAAAAAAAAGAAAAGAAAAAGAAACCAGTAATGAAGTTCCTCAAAAATCAAAAATAGAACTACCATGTGATCTAGCAATCCCACTAGTAGGTATTTATCCAAAGGAAAATAAATCAATACGTTGAAGAGATATTTGCACTCCCACATTCATTTCAGTGTTATTTAGAAAATAGCCAAGATGGAAACAACCTGTAACTATGGACTAAATTGTGTTCCCTCAAAATTCATATATTCAAACCCTTGCCCAAATGTATTTGTATTTGGCAACAGGATCTCTAGGAGGTAATTAAGGTTAAATGAGTTTATGAATATGATACCCCAATCTGGTAGGGTTGGTGACTTTATAAGAAGAGGAAGAATACATGAAGAAAGAAGAGGTCATATAATCACACTGCAAGAAAGTGGCTGCCTACAAGTCAAGGAATGAGGTTTCAGAATGAAACCAACCCTGATGACACCCTGATTCTGGACTTCTAACCTCTGGAACTATGAGAAGCAAATTTCTGTTGTTTAGGGCATCCAGTTTATGATGTTTTGTTATGGCAGTCTAAACAGACAAGTAAAATTTTGGTACTAAGAATATGGATGCTGCTAAAACAAAACCTAAAAATGTGAAAGTGCTTTTGGAACTTGGTAATGGGTAGAGGTTGGAGGAATTCTGAGATGCATGCTAGAAAGAAAAGGTAGATTGCCATGAAGAGAATGTTGGTAGAATTATGGACGTTAAACGTCATTCTGGTGAGGTCTCAGGTGGAAATGGAAACCTGTTGTTGGAAACAGGAAAAAAGAACTTGGCTAAACCAAGTTCTAGTGTTTTTTTTGTTGTTGTTGTTGAGACTGAGGTTTGAACTCAGGGCTTCATGCTTGCAAAGCAGGTGCTTCCTCTTTCCTTCCTTCCTTCTTTTCTCCTCCTCCTCCTTCTTCTGCCCTCTTCTTCTTTTGCAGTGCTGGGGATGGAACCTAGTGTTTCATGTATGCTAGGCTGACCTACACCTCCAAACCCCCAGCTGAGGAGATTTTTAAGCGAACTTTTGAAGGAGTGATACGGTTCTTCCAGATTGCTTCTACTAAAATGCAAAAGGAGAGAAATGATTTGAAGAAAGAACTGTTAAGCAAAAAGTTACCAAGCTTAAAGATTTGGAAAGTTTTTAGTCTAAATGAAGGGCCAGGGATGAGAGGATTTGGGCTGAATTGTGTACTCCCAAGATATGTCTAAACTCTTATTCCAAATGTAACTATATTGGGGTATAGGATATCTATAAGTTAGATGGTCATAAAAGTAGAGCCCCAAACTAATAGAATTGGTTGCTTTACGTAAAGTGGAAGAAGCTGGGCATGGTGACACAGCTGTAATCCTAGCATTCAGGGTGCTGAGGCAGGAATTTCATGAGTTTGAGGCCAGTCTGGGTACATAGTGAGATCCTATGTCAAATAACCATGAGAAAAAGAAGAGGAAGAGAGAAATCTTTCTTTCTCTGTGCTCATGCACTTAGGAAAGGCCGTGAGAGCACACAGTGAAAAGTCAGTTGCTCATAGGTCAAGACAAGGGACCTCAGAATGAAACCTTCCTTGCTGGTACCTTGATCTTGGACTTCTAGCCTCCAGAAATACAGAAATAGATTTCTTTTATTTAAGCCATTCAGTCAATGGTATTTTTATGGCAGCCAAGCATGTAAAACTCTTAGCATATAGTAGAAATAAATTATATAGATATGCAATATGAATATAAGCTTAGTTATGGGAAAGAATGTTTACTGCATTTGAAAGGACAAACTGCTTTCAAGTACATTAGCAGTCTCCTTTTTCTCATCAAAATTTTTTATTTTAATTGAGACCTACTAATTGTCCGTATTTATGGGCTACAATGTGATATTTTAATACATGTCTACAATTTGTAATGATCAGGTGAGTGTAATTGGCATATCCATCACCTCAAACATATACATTTGTGTTGAAAATATTTCAAATCCCCTTCAATAGCTATTTTGAAATATACAATTATAGTGTCTGTAAGCCATAGTTATCTTACTGTGCTATAGAACATTAGAATTTAATCCTCCCATCCATTGGCACCACTGTTCCAATCCTCTCCCCGTACCCCTGTTTCTCCTACCCTTCTCAGAGTCTGGAAACCACTTTTCTCTTCTGTACTTCTTTGAAGTCAACTTTTTAGCTTCCTCATATAAGTAAGAACATGCGATTTTTGTATTTCTGTGATTGACTTATTTCACTTAACATAATGTCCTCCAGTTCCACTGATGTTGCTGCAAAAGGCAGAATTTAATTCTTTTTTAAGGATAAATAATAGTCTGTGGTACAGTACCTCTTTTAAATACAAATTACCATTACTATTGCTACTATGTTATGTTATAGAGCCTTGTAATAATTCTTTATTTCTATATATTATAATAGTAATATTACAAAAATAGAGGTTAATTTGTATTATATAATATTAATTTTTATAATTAATATTATCAATATTACTACTAATTTCAGTGGACCTGATAATGCCTTACTCCAGTGAAATATTTTCACCTTTAGACTCTACATGTACTTAAAAATAAGACTCTTGTTAGAACTGTTTATTAATTCAAGAGTTTTGCCAGTTACAATTCTCTGATTTCTTTCTGTCTAATCTTTCAACTAGACAAGTCAGGTTTGTTAATTCCCACATTTCAAAAACTGATAAGATAAAGAAGACTCACTGGAGACCTAGGCTGATATAATATGTGTGTGCATTAGAGTCACCTACTTTGCTTCCTATGAATGCAATGGAACTGTCCATGTATATGTAACTTTTATATGTAGTAGCAAGCTCAAATTTAGAGTATCTGTAATTCTTTTGGAATTTTTCAGTAATAGAAATTTGTTTTTTCACAGGTATCAAGGTTACATTTATACATACCGAGTGTCCCAGACAGAAACAGGTTCTTGGAGTGCTGAGGTATAGCTCTTTTACTTATTTTTACTTCTGTGGCTGTTGAGTGTTTCATATTTAGGCTGGTTTGATAAAAGAGAAGTCATATCATACATTACCAAAATATTCATCTTACTTAAATCACTAAAGCTTTTCTCCAAAATTGTTCATGGATCATTAGGAAGCCTTTAGAAAATTTAGGTTCCAGTTCTGTTCAGCAACCACTATGTAGACTGGTATGAATTTGGGGAAAGATAAAAACACGGAAGGATTATGTTCATATGAAGTTTTTGAAAATATATAAAATAATTGAATCAGACTTATTTACTGAATGATACTGACATGATCATTGGTACTACTGTGTATTAAAAATATGATTCCTATTTTCTAAGGGTCTATAGTATTATTGAAGAGTTAAAAATGCAAAATTAAATAGCAGTGTAAGATTCTATGCTTTGTTGTCAAGTGCATCTAGGTTCCATGTCTGGTCCCTCCTCTTCCCCACTAGGTCTATGAATTTGGCCAGGATAATTTCCAATCCATTTCTTCACTTGTAAAATAAGCCTAAAAGTAGTCCTTTACTCACAGGTCTCATTCTGAGGCATAAATGAGATAATGTATGTAGAGAATTCTTAGCCACAGGACCTGGCACATAGTGAACCTGCAAAAGTGCACACTGCTGAAAATTGCTGAATAGTACGATTATATATGTTACTTCAGTGCTAGGTTATCTAGAACATAAGTTCAAAGAATGGAGGATTTCCCAAGTAGTTGGGTAATTGTTGGCTGGTCTGTGTGAGGAGGCAGGACTTTCAGCTGAACCATGTTGGAAGGCTATGAATAGTTGGAATAGAAAAGAGGGCATGTTGCAGTGCTTTTAAGCTGTGCTCTAGAGAATCATGGTGCCCTTCTACCTTGGGGCTGACTGGTGAGGTTATGGGCGGCAGAAAGAGAAGCAGAGGTAAGTGGGGAATTTTCTGGGTACCTACCTTGTTTTCAATCTGAGTAGTTCCTATTTATTTTGCTTATAAAGTAGGACTCTAGAGAATAAGATTTCTTTAGAACAAAGGATTCTTGTGGCCTCTAAAACATTTGAATGTCACTGTACTATCCTAAGAAATGCCTGTAGAGTGAAGTCTATTTTCACAGATCAGGGTAGTATGGAATATCACATCTTGCCAATCATTAAGGTCTGTACAACTGAACTTTTCAACCTCAGATGTTTTCTCTGGTTTCTAACTGTTTAAAAAAGTCCATTTTTATAATGAAAGTATTTAATTAGAAGCTTTTGGAAACATGAATTCTAATATCAACCTTTATTAATAATTTAATCTATGCAGTTAAGACACTCTGAAGTCTCAACTTAAAAATTAAAATAACTCTGAGATTTACAAATTTAACAGTATACTGGAAGGTGCAAGTTGCAGATTACAAACATTTTGAACTATTAAGATCAATTGGGAAAAGTTTTCAATCGTATTATTATTTCATTTATTTACTTACTTTTGATTTTTACGAAAGGGTCTTATTAGCCATCCAGGGTGCCCTGGAACTTACAATGCAGCCTAGGATGGCCTTGAACTCGAAGTCTTCTTGCTTTTGCCTTCCAAGTGCCAAGATTACAGACATAAGCCCATTGACTGGCCACATTGTTGATTTATATCAGAATTATTGATACTGTAATACTAACTAAAAGAAAAGCAATACCATTTCTTTTTTTTTTGTGGTACTGAGGATTGAACTCAGGGCCTCATGTTTGCTAAGCAGGTGCTCAATCACTTGAACCACTTCACCAGCCCTAGCAATACCATTTCTAATCAAAACTATTTATACTTATTTATTTTAAGATTTATTTGTATCACTGCAGAAATGATTAAACAGAAATTAAACATAATTTATCATGAAGAATAGTTATGTACAATATATAATATTTATGCATATGATTTGGCCAGAAATAGCCTTTTTTCCTAGCAAAGTACTCTTCAGGTACTGAAGAATATTCTTTATAGAAAGGACCTTGGATTCATAAGTTTTCACAGCCTTGTTTTTAAACTTGCTTTCCTCCATTTGAAGTATAACATCATATACAGATTGTTACATGCTTGTGATCACGTTAAGGAGGAGAGTGCTTATTGAAAATAACTGTCTCCTCATCGTTTTGTCTCATCTGACCCTACTTTTATAATAATATTGCCAATCATCTACATCAAGAGAGCTGACAACTGGTGTGGATTGCTGTATCCCCAAGTGCAAACAGTTAAAAATTCTTTAATTTTGAAAGTGCATATTGCATTTTTTCTGTCTATTAAATTTGCCCTCTTAGTTATGTTTTGCTAAGGTGAATATAAAACTAATATATATTCTCAGAGCTCATACCATCTGATTGGAAAAATTTCTCTAGAGCATATGGAAGACCAGCTGTGATCCAAAACATGTTTCTTCAGATAAATAAAAGGTGAAAGTATGGGAAATATACAAATTGGAACAATAGATGATTTCAGTGACAGGATGGGAGTTGTCAGTGGTATAATTCTTGTGTTTTCAAAATTGGGTAAATGATAGATATTTATGCTGCTTTCTGAAACAATGTTTTAGTTTGCCATGCTTCAGGGAAAATCATGGCAGTGACACTGCATTCTCTGTGCAAAGACTGTGCTAGAAACCTAGGTAAGTCTGAGACTTGTTTCAAAGAGTGGGATGAAATTGAACCTTGGATCTCCTAAATTTAAAGGACCATTATTATGTGTATTTTCAGTTTTAGATAGACTTTTACGTTAGATCATAGCATAGTGAAATAAGGGAGTTCATGTGGCTCTGGCTATTGCTGAATTGTTAATTTAGAGAATCTATATGTAGTTTACTATCATTTATTAATGTGTGAATTATCATCAGTACATTGTAAAAAATGTACTGACTTCTTTCTGTTAATTTTTGTGCCTTTGGGCTTTTATGGGTATTTGATTGCAGGAGTTCAGCAGATAATAAACAATTTTACTTATTAGCCTACACTGCAAATTAGATCAGTCATTTGCTAAGGAAACCCTAAATCCCAAACTCATTTTGCTTCTGTATACCCAGGGCTATCATTCCTCTCTGTTATCATGGATACTCAAGTATTAACTGCATATAGGTCCCCATAAAAATTATGCTTCTGTTGAAAATGGTTTTACAAGCCACAAGAACAGCTTAAAGAAATTGTGGTTTAAAATCTTTCCACATCTGGTGAGTATATAGTTTTGCTTCTGGTTGTTGACTCTAGCTTCACTAGCACCTTCTTTGTCTAGTCCTAATCTGAAAGGGATACAGAGACAATTTTTCTGCCTCTGGTTGTCTGTGTGACCTTAAGTATGCTGATTAATTTACATTTTTTATCTGTCATATGATAACCCAATTGACCAATAACTGCCAATCTGTAAGGAAATAGTGGGGGCAAGAGATGGGAAAGTGCTTTTAAAGTCAAAAAGTGCCCTCTGGAAGGCACAAGGAGGTATTTTGTGCTTATGGCCTGTCTTTTCAATTTCTTCAAATTGGAGCCCAAGAATTGTTTGGACCTCTGCAAAAATGGCCATGTTATTTTGGATGAAGTTTCAATAGAGTTTTAGGAAGGTGTTTTGATCTCGAGGATGTAGCTGTATGGGAGACCATTTTACATTTACTCTCAGGATATGAGTGGACACAAATTTAGAACCAAAAAGAATATTCGCAGTGTTTTCAATGAGAAACTACTTACCCCAAAGTAGGCAGTGACTGAGAGTTAGTTATGGATCCAGCTTACTGTCTAGTTGACAGAACTCTGCATGCCATGTTTTTTCATTAAATGCTAAAAACAGTTTCCATCTCGAAAAATCTTCCAGATGGAATAACTGAAAAACAACTTTCTAAAAAAAATCTAGTCATTGTTCAATTGCTTGTAGCAGTACTATTTTATTTTATGTAAAATGTCAGTTTTGAGCTGATGCCTAACGCTTGTCTCATAAGCTTTTGTGGGTAATTTTTGTTGATTTCAGGCAGTGTTTTTGCAAGAGAACTTATGTCAGAGAAGGAATACATTTTAATAGTTACCTGCAAATAATGATCTCTTTAAAAACAAACGAACAAATAAATAAAAGTGACCTTATATAGTCTTTCATTTTCATGTCATAGAGAAAATCCTGTCACTGTGTAGTGCTGACAGCAATTTGGGGAAGGGTAGGGAAGTTTCCCAACGAAGAAAAATGTAATATGAAGAATGAAGCAGGACATATTGTGAGATAAAAGGGTATGAGGACCAATTAATTAGCCATGCATTATGTGCATCTTAGCAATCAATTTTTAATTTCCTGTGTAGTATTTTATATTGTAAAATGTTGTCAGGGAGGACCAGTTGTCTGTTGTTTTTGTTTTTTTGATTCCTCAGGCTTTTTATTAATGACCTGTAGGATCTGTGCATTTTCTATGTTTAACTGCATCCACTCAGTTGCTGAATTCATCATGGGTAATGGTCTGTATACCCTTAGCGGTTTGGGATGTATGATGGGTAGCAGGCAGGAAGGGCAGGGCTATAAGCTAGAGCTTGTACAAACTAATACCACCCTTGGGAGAACTGAAATGACAGCTCATTAGCTCCTCTTGCAGGGAAATTCAGCCAACCAAAGTAAGCTCTTCTGGAATGTTGTTTTTCCTTCTTCCTTATGTTTCCAAATATTTGAGCAAGTTATACAAATGTTAACTCTCTAAGCATCCCTTGCACATTTTTGTAGGACTTTCTGTAGCATTACAAGGAAAGTAAATAATTTGTTTGGCCTTTTATTTTCCAGACAGCACCCGGGGTACATAAAAGATTTTTCCGGAAAATAAAAAATCTCATTTCAGCATTTCAGAAGCCAGATCAAGGCATTGTAATACCTTTGCAGTATCCAGTTGAGAAGTCCTCAGCAAGAAACACACAAGGTACTACAGGTATGGTTAATGTTCATTTTTGACAGAGTTTGGAAGCTTAGGGTTTATAGCAAAGCTATTCATAAATATTCAATCAATTGGATGTTCTGTAAGAAAAATTCAGTGAGAAAGTACATGTAGCCAGAAATCAAGTGAGAGGTAACTTTTTATGTGCTTTAATTTCAATATGCTATACTATCAGCTTTTAATAAAAGCTGATAATAAAATGTGCAAACATATAAAAAATTACATGAGGTCATAGTATTTCAAGCTTCCTTTCCCATCTTGTTCTTATATATCCCTTTTGTAGATATATAAGTACCATTTCACTTCATTAATCCAGACACAAATGATTTGAAAGGCGCAGTAATTCAGAGAACACCTGGGATGCCCTTTACTTTTGCTTATTAAGCTATTTTTCCTTTCAGGGACTGGGAATAGGCTAATGTTAGCCTAGTCCACGTGATTCTGATTTCTGAATTGATGGTGTTTGAATGAATGAAATTTTACTATAGCAGATGAGATTAAATTAGCAAACTGTATTGTTCCACTGGAACAAATTATTACATTTCCTGAGCAAAGCTATTTTAGTGCATGTGTCAAGCTAAAGAGTGAATTACATCCAACTGCTGTAGTTATCTGTTTACTCATCTATTGAAAGGGGTTAATCATTTGTTTGGAATGAGAGGATATGCCTCGATTAAAACAATAAATATTTATGATAAAATAAAATGAGTTTTTATATCCTTTTCTAATTTACAAATTGGCTAATTTTTATTTTCTACACAGTATTCCATTCTTTATAAGTCAGTTTTAAATAATAGTTGCTTGAGACATATCATTGTATTGTGCTTTTATTTTATTCTGCCAGAAGTTTTATATGTTTGAGTTAACCTATAATTTTATTACTTTGTAAATTTACCTTTTCTTTGATTTTTGTTATTCTTTTTCTTTAGGGAGAAGAGATTCTGATGTCTTCTTGAAAACACCATGAAGAGAAATAAAACACCTTGTACTTTACTTTTAATAATTTAAATTTATGCTAAGTTTTGTATGTTGTAGATAATCCAGTTCATCGAGCTACAAATGTATTTCTAACACCATCATAGTCCTGTGATGAACGCATCTAGTCTGATGTTAAAGCTGAAATGGACATTGTAGAGAATGAAGGGCCTTGAAATGAGGATTGGGAAAAATAATTCCTTAGGTTATTTTCAGTTATTACATTTACAAATGGGAATGTAGTGAGTACTTCATAAAAGATTAAGGTCAATTCTTGCCAAATATAAATAAAAATAATCTTCAGCTTTCGTCAAAAGCACCATTTTTAGTGAAATATTACTTGATAGTTACTGATTTTTAAATGTCTTGCTTGATTGTGTGGCGGGAAGGTGGTTATCATATGCAGTTCTGCGCTAGCAATGGTGTTATGGGAGACTTATGAAGCTGTGTGCTAAAACAAGTACTAGATAAAGAGTAAAGAATTTGTTTAAATCTGAAAGCAATCTATTTGCCTAGAGTTCTCATGTTAGACAGTAAAATCTATAGGCCAATCTGGAGTTTAAAATCCTATAATTTAAGACATGCTATTAATGTTTCTTTTGTTTTATGCAGGCTTTGAAATTATGCTGGGGATCTGATGAAGCTCAGTTTTCTTCTAATCATTTATCTTTGCCCCAGTTGTTTCCACTACATGTAAAACCTTTTTTAAAAGGGAATTTTCAGCAGCTGTAGTTCATGATTAACTAACTTTTTAAGCAGACTTCCTATTCGGCAACCCTACAAAACCATTAGAAACTTATGGTTATATTAACTTTTAATGATTTTGACTGATTGAAATCTAACTGAGAGTCAGATTTTTATGTAGTATTTTCTTCTTATGTTTATATTTTCATCACTATTGTGATTTATTATATGCTTAGTTGCTTCAGGGCTCACAGAATTCATTCATTCAACAAACATAATAAGGCACTGGGGGTAGAGAAGTAAAAATAGCTGGTTGCTGCCCTCAGGTAGTTCGCGATCCAGTTGGAAGAGAAAACAGCAATAATAAAAGACAAGAAAACAATAACAATAAATGTTGATAAGTACATAAGTGAGGTTCCCAATGTGTAGGTGATCTGTCTTTAGAGGCAGAACAAATCAACACAAATACTCTGGCCTATGGTCTGTAGAAAAGGCTAAGTTTCATGGTAAACTAAAACATTGGAATTCTGGGCTGTACACAATGTGAGCTTGGTTAATAATTAGTGAACTGCTGAGAGAGCTACTATTTGTGCTGAGCATGTAACATGGATGATATGGGAGTGCAAAGGTAGAGTATGGTCACAATAATGTATTGTGGGCAGTTCACCATTATAAGGGAATTCAGGAATATACTTGCAAATTAAAATGCATATGCTTAAATACTTTTAACTACTTTTAGTTTGAGTTTAAATTTTAATTCATGAAGTTAATTTTTATTCTAATATGTCTAAAATAATCCTACATAAATGAATGATGTTTGCACGTTCTTTTATAAGAGTCTTTTGAAAAAGCCTTCTGGTATCATTAGCAGTCTTTCACATTGTAACAAAGTACTTGTAAGATTTATTCACCTAATTTGTATTAAAATAATCCTTAAAAATATTCAGAGAGGGAGAGAGAGAGAGAGAGAGATGCTATTAATAAACTAAAGCATTGATGAAGGTTGTCTTACTTATCTTATTGGACTGATTGCCTGGAAAAGGTAGGTGCTTTTCTGATGTTAGTATTGTCAAACTCTCCAGTTGATGAGCTTAATTCCATCTCCTTTCGCTGGACTTTTATTCATCAAGTTTATTTTACTTTTTTTTTTCCACATGAGCATCTTTGCTAGTTCCCACCCTATGTGATAGGGTGCACTTTTACAGAAAAATCATATCCTTGACATACATATCTAAAATATTGCCATGCTAACATGTACCTGTAAGTTGCTGAGTCAAGGTAGAAAAATGTACGTATATTTCCAAGCTTCTTTTCGTGGGGTGGGGGTGGGGCAAAAGCTGTTGGCAAGCCCAAAAGAACAAGACAGCTTATCAAATACTTATCCATTTCCTCTAAAACTTGTTCATAAGAGGTAAGGTCAGGAGGAAGACAAGCTTAAATAATTGTCTGTTTGACTGTTATAGGCAGGGAACCTTATAGTAGCACACAGGTAGACTAATTCTACACAGAGTATCTCTAAGTCATCTGGTATAAATAAAGGTCTGTACCGAAGGTATTCTTTGAGTTACAATGGATAGAGAATTAAAAAATGTGAGAAACATTTTTAATATCTACTAAGATTGCTTCAATATCAGCTTATAGTTTATTTGAGTCACTTTATTGAGCTCAGAATCTGTCTATTAATAATAAAACCCAGATTTGTCCTTGAGCATTTCAAGGTTACAGGATGCCTGGTTTCCTGTTCAGGTGCTGTAAATTTAATGTTGTCACCTGTTTGCCCTTGTAGTAAATAGGAATCCATTATTTTTCAGTTTGCAGCTAGGGGTGAAGTTAAACTACCTAGTTTAGACAGTTTTACAATTTGGAGTCATTGGCCAAACATGTAGTAAAAGCTGAATTCTTATCATTAGGTCATTTGGTTCTTAAGTGAACTTTTTTTTATGTAGAAAGATATAACAAACATGAAAAACTGGATAGAGGCCATCAACATAACATGAAACACCCCCCCCCCACACCACTTGATTGTTTCCCTCAACTCCTCAGAAATTGAATTGCTCTCTCATAAGATGACAGAAGGTAATATAACATTTAGTATTGGACAGATAGTGAAAGCAGGAATGCATGAAACCTGAATTTTCTTTTCAGCTTTGTCACTGGTCATTCATATGACCTTAGGTAAGTCAGTCTGTTACTGTTATTGAATTTTCAAAGTAGGAATAATTAAATCTTACTCACTTTACAGGATTATTGAGGCACAAGAATTATATAACCTTAAGATATTAGTTATTAAATTATTAAATCTTTGATGATGTTGATATTTAAAAACCTCTAAAAGTGAGGGTGAACAGGGTAGGAATATAGATAAAACTCTTATTTCCTTTAATAATTCTGTAAATGTAGGAGCTCTTGCCCTCTTTGGGTTGGGTAGGATGAATAGTTTGAAAAAAATCCACAGATGATACTAATAATCACCCCCTTTTGCTGATGGGTTGTATTGAGACAATCAAGGGTGTTTTCTGTTCTATAAATCTTTTTATTGTATCAATTTTGAATAGAAAGGCAGCAGGGCATTTTGAAGTGGTATAAATTCCAAGTTTCAGTAAGAGGCAGTTTGGAGTATATGTGCCCCATTAGTATCAGGTTGAATGTTTGAAGAGCTATCAGCCAACTTTCCTAGTGTCAACTGGAAATGTCTTCTTGTGAAAAATAAGTGACAAATGGCAATTGTAATTGCCTATAGTGTAGGGCCTCAGAAGAGCTGTTTTTTGTTTTTTGCCAGTGCATTCAGAATGCTCTTGTCTCCTAGCTCTCCCTCACCCCCTCCTTTTCTTTTCTTTTTTTTAAATTTAAATTTTTTCTTTATTTCTGAGAAAGGCACCAAAAGGAAAGTGAAACCTTTTAAAAAGTCATAGCCTAGAGCTTTTAAAATTCATAGCAGCTACTTTTCTTTGTTTATTAAGTAGTCATTTGTGTCAGAGATCCTGTTTGTATGAAAAGTAAAAATGAAGAGATGTCTGCCTAGGATTTGTGCCTTTTTGGATTTTGCACCTACATTTTCAAGATGATGTGGTTTTTATTGTTCCCCATCAGGGAGTCACTTTTCCTATCTCAGGTGTCCAGACTGACTTGAGAATGCAATTTGGCGCATGAATAAAATGGGACACAGTGCTCATTTGCATTTTTATTTTTTAAAAATGAAATATTCAAAGTACTTTTCTTTCAAATATCGACACATAATGTTTAACTTTAAATATTTACAGCATGTTGTTGTGATGCTTCTTGTAGAAAAATGCATGCTTCTGGCCTGAAAGCCAGAGCAAAATGCAAAAGACCATTTAACTGCAGCCAGAAAACATGAACCTGTACAGTATCCAGTCACTTTTCAGCACAAGAGTGAGAGCAGGAATACAAAATTGGAACCTATTATTTCCTAGCAACATGGCTCAGGCCATTATAACACAATTTTCAGTATGATTAGAACCTCTAACTGTTGTTATATAGAAACTGAAAATCTTGGCATACACTGTAAACATCTTTACTTTTCATGAGAAGGTAAGCAGCTAAAAAGAATATTTTTCTGATGTAAAGTCTATACTTCTTTTTTTCATCTCTCTTACTGATGTGTTTGCCAGAAGAATAGTAAGGATTTAGACATTGTCATGATTCATACTAAAATATTTTTCAAGGACACAGTCTGATATACTAACATTTATTTGAGAGGTTAAAGTCCACCACTAAATCTAAGGAAAGATTTTTAACTGCCAAACACATTTCCTTTGACAAATAATGTAAGGTGACAACTGCCAAGACAAAATCCACAGCAAGTTTAACACTAAGTATTTTCAGTTACTGTTTAGGAAGTAATTTCTTCTTATACACAGTAGTATATTTGGTCCTCAATAGCTTTCATATGAAGGCCACACTGAAATAATAGTCACTATTTTGTGTTTGAAATTTTTTATTTTCTGTTTTTTTTTTTTTTTGTTTATTTTGCTTTGATTTTTTTTTTTTGCTTTTTTATTTTTGTTTACTTTGCAGAATAAAGAACCTTACAGAAGGCTGTGGAACAGCAGTCTGAGATCTGAAGTACTAGTCAGGTCAGCTATGTGTATGTGAGTTCCTTCAAGAAAACAAGAAACTTGCATTCAATCTGTAGCCTTGTTTTCCCACAAGTTATAATACAGTGCAATCTCTCCAACATTTTCTTTCAATACTTGATTACTGTACTTTTGCTTCCATCACCATTGGCCTTCATTAAATTGCCTTTAAAACAAACACATAAATGTAAAAATTTTGCCCTGACTTTCTCAGGTAATATTACTGTGGAGCCTGGTCTGATTAAAAATGTAGTTTGAAAAATGGAAAGAAAGAAAGAAAGAAAAAGAAAAAGAAAGATTGTAGATATAACATGATGGAATGCCTGTCAACAGTGATGAAAAAAGTCTTATGAAAAGTTTAACTTAATTTTATACCTCTCTATGTAGGTAGCATGTGAATTCCAAATTATAAATTGTCAAACATTTGGCTATGTTGTATATATTATGTTATATATGTATAGTCTACATATTATAGATCTTCTAGATAAATTGACAGTAAATGACATACTTACTTTATACATTATTTTGTTAGGTTAAAATAAAACATATACTTTCTATGGTAAGTGATGAAAGTATGAATTGAGTTTTATTTCCCTTTCCTTCAAACTCATGCTTCTAATCTATAATGATTAGAATGAAAACTAAAAGTAAATGTATTTAACTATCTCTTATACTTTGAACTCTTTAGTTCATTTGGATTTCTAGACCATAGTGCAAGACTAAAAGCAAAACAAAATAAAAAGGCACAAATGAAATGGATCTAAGGAAAAGAAATGATTACAGAGTATTCTCTGTCTCCAGCCCAGAATGTTTTTCATAGCAGAGTCCAACTACTGTGCTCTCACTTTAGCGTACTTGAGTGGTATGTGGCTGTGCAGTGTCAGCCACTTGTCTTCTGGGTGTGAGAAATACGTATATTTCTCTTAAAATGCTTTAACGTTCACCAGAAAATGCAAATGAATTGTCATTAATTTAAGCTTCAGAAACAAGTCAGTGAAGGCATTCTTTCTATTCTGCTGAGTAAGAAGTGATGTACTCAATATCTTCATGTTATTAAGAAATGCCAAACATTTCTCTTAGATTTATTACTAGATAGTACTGAATTTTTGGGTGGTTTTTTAAAAATTTTCTCCCCAAAACTTTAGGAGTTGTAAAGAGAATAATAATTCAAGGCAGTATTAAAACCACAATTGTAAGTGATAAAAAGTGCATTTCCTGGATATAATACCACTTTAAGAAACTAAAGGCACGAACTAACTAAATATGTATTACAAACTAGAAATGCACAGTTCAAGGTAATTACTATTAAGTAAAAGCTCCAAATATTTGTTTCTAGTGGATATTTAAAGCAGTTTGAAAATGATACATCATCAGTGAATTGCAAAAAAGTATAATCACTTAAAATATAAGCAAAATAGATTCTAATATTGACATCTTGGATTAGTGATAAAATACATCATCACGCTTAAGAATGCACTCTTTATGTACAGTTAACAAATTATTTTCCCATTGATTTAAAAGAACATCAGAGTTTCTAGGAAATTAAGGTCTGTTTTAGGTTGGTGTGGAGGTATTCAAATTTTCAACATGTTTGTGGGTAATTTCAGAATTCCATCCTGAATAAATACTGTACTGATAACACAGGCCTGATTCAGGAGAA